TTCTTAAATACTTGAGGATAGTCTTGACTGTTGTCCAGTGACTTTCACCTGGAACAGATTGGTATCGACTCGTCATGGCATACATGATAGATCCTATATCCAAAGCATATGGGATTCTGCTCATCCGCTCTCGCTCATCATGTTTTGAAGGACACTGATTCTTGCTAAGAGTTATGCCATGAGATATTGGCAAGAAGCCTTTGGAATCACGCATTTTGAATATATGCAAGACCTTATCGATATAAGTAGCTTTACATAATTCAACAGACTTAATCTATCTTTATAGATTATTATTCCAAGAACATGTGTAGCCGTTCCCATGTCTTATACTATGAGAACTTCCTGAATTTCTCGAACTCCTTCGAGCTGTATTTTACTCCCACTGTTCTTCTTGGAAAGAAATTCTCTTTCTAGAAAAACGTCACTACTATCAACAAACACTTTGTTCTCTGTGGGATTTTAAAAGTAAACACAGATTTTTCTAAAATGTATCCCCAAAAGGATAATGGAAGATCTACATGACTCATCATTGGCCGAACCATATCTAATAAAGTTCGGTTTCTCCTTTAGATACACCATTCAACTGCAGTGTTCCCAAAAGAGTAAGTTGTGAAACAATTTCACAATTTCTCAGATGATCATTAAGCGCTTTGACTCGATCGGATCGAAGAGCTTTAATTTTCTTATCAAGTTTATTTTGTACTTTATCCTGAAATTTTTTTAACTTTTCAAAAGATTCAGACTTATGTTTCTAGATTAACATAATCATGAAGTACTGATAGTTTCCTTTAACATTTATACTCATTGGTCCACATACATCAGTATGTATAAGTTCCAGCAAGTCTTTTACCTCCTTTACTATGTCCAGTAAGAAAAGTCTTAGTCATTTTACCCAATAATCAAGATTCACATTTCTCAAATGATTCATAATCAAGTGAGCTCAAAATTCCATCACCATGAAAGTTTTGATGTGCTTCTCATTTATGTTGTCCAAATGACAATGCTAAAGAAAAACTTGATTTGAGTCATAAGACTTGAACCTTTTGGTATTAATGTTATAAACATGCACGCTATGACTTAGAATATAAAGTCCATTCTTTAATAGACCTCTACTATAAAAGAAATCACAATGATCAAATAAACAACACTTGTCTTTTAATCAAAAATATGAAATCCTTTCAAATCCAAATAATTGAATAATATTCTTCTTATAGCAGGTACATAGTAGCAATTCTTAGTTTCCAAAACCATGCAAGAAGACAAAAAACAAATGAAAAATTCCTACAACTAATGGAGCAACTCTTGCTTCATTTTCCACGCGAAGGTCCACTTGTCCTTTCTCCAAGACTCTATTGTTCTTTAGGCCCTGCATATTTCCACAAATATGAGTACCACAACTGGTATCAAATACCAAAGAAATAGAATCAGAAATAGTAACATTTACTTTTATAACATAAATACCTGAAGATGATGTTTCAGAAATCTTCTTCCTTTTCAGATCTTCCAAGTATTTCTCGCATTTTCTTTTCCAATGTCCAGAACCATTACAATAATGGCACTTATCAACATTAGAAGGACCAGGCTTAAACTTAGGAGAAGGATCAAGCTTGCTTGAATTCGCAGTCCAGCCTGGCTTACCCTTTCCTTTGTTCTTACCTTGTTTCTCAAACTTGTTACCCCCTTGTACCATAAGAACATTTGGGGTATCCTTCTTGATGTTAGGTTCAGCTGTTTTAAGCATCCCATGCAGCTCAGTCAAAGTCTTTGTCAAGTTGTTCATGTTGTAGTTCATAGCAAACTGATCATAGCTTGACGGCAATGACTATAGAATGAGATCAGTCGCCAACTCTTGGCTGATAGGACAATCCAGCTTAGCCAAGTTATCAATATAACCCATCATCTTAATGACATGCGGGCTAACTGGACCATCTATTAGTAGCTTGCACTCAATGAGAGATTTAACCGTTTGGTATCTCTCAGTTCGAGCTTGCTCCTGAAACATACCTTTCAGGCTAGTGATCATGTCAATTGGTGATTCCACGTTCTCGTATTGCTTCTGCAAATCCGAGTTCATGGTCGCCAACATAAGACAACACACATCGACCCTATCACTGACATGCTTCTCATAAGCAGT